GAGTGACAGATAGAGAGAGATTAGGGAGGGGAGGGGAAATCACAGTGGGGGATCTAACTTCACGAATGGGCAATTAGCCATTCAAATCATTATGTCAATCTTTTCTTGTTTCACAATATTCTGTACAGCTTCCCCTAATCCTTTAAGCTGACCCTAAACATTTACCTAATGACCTTTGAAGCCATAAAAATCACAGATATATTTTTTCCCTGCCCATTTCAATCTTAACATATTTTTTCTTAATTAGCAACTCATTCTCCTATAATTGAAATGCTGTCTTTTGTTTTCACTATTCGCCCAAACTATATAAATATATATATAGGCCCTATAAATATTACATTATATTACATTAATAGGTCTATCAAGTAGCGATCAGTCCATCGAACGAACTTATTATGATGGTTTAAATTATTTAAATTTAGTTCCATTATGGCATATTACAACTTTCAATGAATATAATTTTTCTATTTATAAAAGATGTTGCGTTTGATTTCAGGCACAACAAACGGAATATCGGGAAAGTCAAGCACCTTGCAACTTATTTCCCGCGATATGATATTTCTTAGGAATTGTGATTACTCTCTACCAATGGTCAATACAGCATGCACTCTGAAAACAACGAAGTACACGATGATACCTTTGGGTTGGATCTTTGCAATGTTTTGTATGGATTTTAAAGATAAAGACCAGTTTTGGTCATGCGATTGCATTGTGAAAGAAACGTTGTGGAATCGATCGATTTACCAAATATATCAATTAGTAGGCGGTTTCCTGGCAAAATTGTTATCATCATGTATTAGTCAAAACATACTCTTTCACATGATTGGTAATAAGAACTTCCATTTCATTTTTTGAAATTGGGGCATTTCCAATACTGGTCTTTACCTTTAAGATTTGATGTATGTAATTCAACAGCCATTTTCACTTCTAATCAATAAACAGTGTAGAGCTTTCGTGGTCTAGTGGATCTCATGTTTCGCGGTTCGAGTCCCGCACGGCACTAACGCATTTATCTTCGTTTGCCACTCTCCTTATAGGAACAGTGTGTGGATAGTAGGGTGGAGAGTACCTGGTAGGAATTAGTGCATTAGGACAGCTGGGCTAAAGCAGGATAATGATACTATTTTGTAGGTGCCTAGAGCATCATATTGGACGAATATACAAGATGTTCCTCTAATTATCATTGTTATCGATAAAAAGTGAAAAGGGGGGATGAATCATCTGCTTGAAATCTGTAAAAGAATTTCATAGTTAATTCTTTCTTTAACCATGAATGTTCTTAGTGATATCAATTATTTTGGACGAGTGCATAAGTGGGCACACGATGTCGCGTGTGTAGTATACTGACCCCTGGTTTAATGATGATAGTTGCGGGCTAAACCTAATAATGACTTGGGGACCTGATCCGGCTATCTCCTTATTGGCGGATCAGTATAGGATTAAATCAGTATGGGTCTGTTATAGAAATGTAGAACTCATTAAGTTACCATTGTGAAAAGAAATAATAAAAGACAATAGTCGCTGGATCCGATTACTGCAAATTACAGGTGAAGCCTTGTCGAACAAGCAACTGGCCATGCTTAAGGAATAAGTTAGAATTTGAAGTACATGTAGTAATATGGATGAAGGGTTATACAGAGAGACTGATGATGTCGATGATGCAAAGTCATGATTACCTCTTTCATTAATAGAGGCAAAGTACCACTTGGATGAAGGGTTATACAGAGAGACTGATGACATTTAAGACGATGCAAAGTCATGATTATCTCTTTTGTTACTAGAGGCAAAGTGTCCTCTACCAAGCAAGAAGTCAACGCCAATTTGGTTTGGAGATCCGAAAGTCATAAAGCCTTGTTCAGATTTATGTATCTTAACACAACTAAGAGCGAAATGAATTCGTGTACGAATCTTTGTTGAGTACGGTTGTACACCAGATGAAGACAGTGAGACGGGTTAAATGATGAGAAGACAAGATGACGGGTTATTGAAACTCGGCAAGTCGACTTGCTTGGGACAAGAAAACAAGATGATGACTTGTTGAAACTCGGCAAATCGACTTGTTTGGGACAAGGAGACAAGATGACGAGTTGTTGAAACTCGGCAAATCGACTTGTTTGCGACAAGGAGACAAGATGACGAGTTGTTGAAACTCGGCAAGTCGACTTGTTTGGGACAAGGAGACAAGATGACGAGTTGTTGAAACTCGGCAAGTCGACTTGTTTGGGACAAGAAAACAAGATGATGACTTGTTGAAACTCGGCAAGTCGACTTGCTTGGGACAAGGAGACAAGATGACGAGTTGTTGAAACTCGGCAAGTCGACTTGTTTGGGACAAGAAAACAAGATGATGACTTGTTGAAACTCGGCAAGTCGACTTGCTTGGGACAAGGAGACAAGATGACGAGTTGTTGAAACTCGGCAAGTCGACTTGTTTGGGACAAGAAAACAAGATGATGACTTGTTGAAACTCGGCAAGTCGACTTGCTTGGGACAAGAAAACAAGATGATGACTTGTTCAAACTTGGCAAATCGACTTGTTTGGGACAAGAAGACAAGATGACGAGTTGTTGAAACTCGGCAAGTCGACTTGCTTGGGACAAGAAAACAAGATGATGACTTGTTTAAACTTGGCAAATCGACTTGTTTGGGACAAGGAGACAAGATGACGAGTTATTGAAACTCGGCAAGTCGACTTGTTTTGGACAAGAAGACAAGATGACGAGTTGTTGAAACTCGGCAAATCGACTTGCTTGGGACAAGAAGACAAGATGACGAGTTGTTGAAACTCGGTAAGTCGACTTGTTTGGGATCAAATCAAATCTGGGCGCAAACACCAATTATTTTAACTTATATAAAAATAAAAAATGCCCCCTTGAAATGGTCTACCAGCAGCCTATACATCAACGAGTGCTGAATTATTTAAACGTAACAGACACTAATGAATAATTTTGTATAAAACGTGAAATTCTATTTACATTTCGTTGCTTTTCAAAACGAAAAATGTCTAACTCATAACCTAAAGATTTAGTACTATATGTCATTCTGCTGTATGTAACCCCCTTTTCAGACCTAAATGTTATTTTTTACAGGCACAACTGATATCTCTCTATTTTGGCAAATAAAATATAAAGAACAAATGTCTACGGGGGAATCAAAAAAGAGAAAGAGAGAGAGAGAGAGAGAGAGAGGGAGAGAGAAAGGAGTAGAAGTAGTATATTTCAGATTTTCTTTCGTTTATGTCCCAGCGAGTGCTGTAGTTGTAAAAAAACCTGGGGCCCGTATTCTGAAGTTTTGGACTCCAAAGAAGAAAAACAACATAATTTGCAGTGCCAACTACTGAGCTATTGTGTTGAATTCTTTGCACCTATGAGGAATCAAAGCGGGGCTCACTGAGGGGTACCAGACTCCCATGTATACCCTCTCAGTTGGATCCTTCTACGAACTGTGAGGCGATTTAGTTTTAAGGGAGGGTCCAGACAAAAATGACAGGGGTACTTTTGAGGGCAGGTAAAGGCGGATATTTGGGGGATGGCAGAGCTGCAGAAATCATGACTGTTTAAAATGGTATGAACTATACTTGACACACGGACTATGTTAGATTTGCGTGAGACATTTGAGAGCAAACGCCATAAGCTCACATCATACAGCGAATACATGCGCCATACAAGGAACCATCACATGAATACATGTATTATCAAATACTAGGGGCCTAGACAAATCATCATTTTGGTTAAGAACAATATAGAAATTGGAAGGCCAGGCAATTGATGTCATATCGTTATCCAGTTGACTTTGAATTTGAGGAAACGACGTAAATTTTATGAACTGAATGATAAGCACAGTTGAAAAAAACAATTGACAACAAAAAGAACAAAACAAGAATATGTCAAGCCAGCATCTAGATAAAAACACGTGGAGTATTCAATATGCATTGCCAACGACTGCAACTATTCTTTCGTTTTTCATTTTCGATTTTTATTTTTGACAAAGGGCAGGTAGCGAGGATTAATACAAATAATCTTGACGTGCTAGTATGATGGGAGAAGGGCTGACATAGAGAGAGAGAGAGAGAGAGAGAGGGGGGGGGGGGGATATGCAAAACAAAGGCAAACTTCCCCAATGTCACCTATACTGGAGGAAACTCTTTCACCAATCGCTGGCCGGGAAGCGTTATTTTTTTATGCGGCACAGATTGGGGCATGGCGCGTGTTAAACCTATGGGAAGTACGTTCTTTCCCTTCTGAATAGTGTCTGCACGTACGTGAGACTAGTCATGTTAGCTAGCGCATTAGCGCTGCGAAGAAGTTTGTATATCCATCGCGAACTATGTGTTTAGATAACATTCCTGTTCGTTTAAGTTAGTTAAGTTTTATTGACTAATTATTGTGATGTTCTCCTTATTGACGTTCTGCCTCCTCTTCAGATTTCCAATTTGATTTTAATTGTTGATGTAATGATTTTCCATGCGGTAGTGGATTAATGGTAAAAACAGACCTCTACTACTTATACTGTCTCGTACGCACACGACCAGTATTAGTCTGTAAATCAAGACCCCTTTTTAAAAAAAGCCCCAATCTGTGCCGCATAAAAAAATAACGCGGCCGGGAACAGTCAAAATGGGTGCAGCTCTACCCCCTTCCACCTCTCCTCTCCTTCCTCGCCAAGACAAACATAGCTGTAGTGTCCCCTCTAAAGGTCCCCTGTCGAGCAACTTGTATAGCTCAGTGCGGGTACGCAGCGGCGCATATCGGCCCTAAATGGGCGGTTTCGATCGGGACCCATTGTCATGCAAATTAGTCGCGCGCCGGGGTACGCGAGTGAGGCTGAAAGCCTATTGTTTGCCAAGGAGCGATTGAGACAGGTAAAAATGGAAGCCACAGGCTCGCACGTCGATGCAGACAATAGCTTGTCAACTACACACAACTACCATTCCCCCTAAGCTTAGTGGAGATTGTTTTGTTGTACCCCCATGCTTGATGCCCGACAGAGAGAGAGAGAGAGAGAGAGAAGTAAACTTTTGAGGCCACCAAAAGAAAATGGGCGTGGCTTCAACTTTGTGTCGCGTGAGTCAGTGACGTAGAGCCAGGTTAGGCGGTAGAGGTGTCTCAATAGTTCACCTTGTGGAGGTTCATTGTTTAAGTTGGGCTTTTATGCTTCGTGTGTCGAGATATTAGACGCGTGCCACCAGAGCGGGCCGACCACATTCGCGTGACATAGTCGTAGTGAAAACATCAAACTTTAAAGGCTGGCGATTTTTGCTTCACTATCCTGCAAACTAAACAACCTGTTGGTAGAATCCTACCGTCTACCTGTTGCTCAAGTCGCAACTCACAAGTCGCATCTCTCGACACTTGTCTTCATTTTCGACAAGTGTTTGCAACAAAACGGTGAAGCTCGAGCTCTTCCTAGACTTTTGACGAACTTCAGAACTTGAATTCTTTTGAAGAATCGTCTATTCATATATTTCAAGCGACGTATTCAATATAGCTCTGAATTTGTTCACCCTTTCCTGAGCTTATTTTCAAGAGAAGTAAAATGGAGAACATCGTACCAATTTCCATCCACCACACCACTCAGCTGCTGCAAGCAGTCACCGTCAACAACCAGACGATACGGACAACGACATCGATAGACGATCTCCCCAAGCGAGTGCGACGACTTCGAGTCAACGATGAGGAAACCCCTGAGCTTACTCGTTGCAAGAGGCGAATCCACTTTAACCATTTGGGCTACGAACTAAACCAACCAGCCCCTGCTGCAGTCGCACGCCGTAACGAACGGGAGCGAAACCGCGTCAAACTCGTCAACCATGGATTCGCCAATTTACGCCAGCAGCTCCCTAACGGCGCCAATAATAAGAAGATGAGCAAAGTAGAGACATTGAGGTCAGCGGTGTCCTACATCAGACAACTCCAACTATTGCTTGACGAAGAGGCAGCAGTCAACGCCGTCTTCAACGGTCACAGTTTACCGCCGTCAACCGCCAGTCTCAGCTCGGCGTCGTCACCCGCAAGTTCCCCGGGTGGATCTAGCCCTTGTGAACCCCTCTCGCCTGAAGATGAAGACCTGCTAAACTTCCATACATGGTTCTAATGTTATGCCAAACCGGACACCAATTCTGTCAGCTTTTGAACAAAAGGTAAGAAACTTTCCTGCTCAAATAACTCAAAGTAAAAAGTAACGTTGCTGAAGACAAATGTCCATATTACATCATCTGATTAGTCGCTTTTCCTCATCTTTAAATGTGCCGGGTACATAAATATTTAAATTTGATAAAACAACAAGAATAATCACATAACACAACATGACAATTCCACCATGACACGATCAGCTGTAATAGCAAACAACTTATCTGTATAATAGAAAATTATACATTTATCTATATATATATATATAAATCATGTTTTCTGTAAACCGAAAGGTAATCATTCAAACACATTTTCTTTATATGCCAACCAAAGCCATTACTTTTTTGGAAAACATTTTAACCAGGAATACAATCTTCAATTCAATCATCAATTATAAAATAATTATAAAATGTCCGTCTTCACCAAGCAAGAGTTTCTGTATCACCGCCCAAAAGAAAATTACCACTCGTTTTAAACAAGGAATCAATATAGACATTCATGACAGATGACATTTTTGTTATATTCTATCATATTTTCGTTCTACGGACTAATTCATTAATTCGAACAAGTGGGACCTTGTTTCAACGATAGGACCAACTTGGTTTTCTATTTTATTCATGCCGCAAATCAACTGAAACCCCACCCAGACTTCCTAAATCCTTATCCTAAGCCGTCTTAGGCACACGATTGTATTAAAGTGCTGGTTTAGCGATCTACTTGTGGCGATGTATTGAACATGTTGAGGGACACAAACCAGATAAAGTCGAAAATGTCAGGCTACTTACAGACCATTCTGACTGCGGGGATTAGTAGATGTAAAAGAAAAATAGCAATGAGGCTCCGATATTGGCATTTTGATTTTTTAAATAATAGGTTTGTTTATTATGTCACAAACAATGTGTAGTCCTCCATGAACTAAAAAATAATAATTTAATGACAAGAAAGTTCTTTAATTGGAAATTCCCCTTCAAGTATTTCTGGTTATGCATCACAAATTGTACAACTTTACGAAAGCACGTTCAAGAACAATTTACAAAATGGGCTAACAATCATGCTGACTTTCTTTTGCACAATAGCAAATAAGCCATTTACATATTTATTCGCCAAAAATTACTCATAAATTACACTGACAATATTGTGACACGGAAATCGATATTAGCAAACACATACTTTTAATTTGTTTGCAACAGCAGAAAGAACAACAGCAGAAAGAACAACAACATTAGTACCAATGACAAAAGCGATAGCGTAGTAGTAGTAGTATTAGTCTTATTATTGTTATTATTATGATTAGTAGCAGTAGTAGTAGTAGTATTTGTTGTTGTTGTAATAGTAGGAGTCCATCTATTACCATTGACTACCACTAATGCTTCTCATTTTACCAAATTATATTATAGTTTTGAAAGAGAAGAACATATGCTGTCTAAAAGAGTTTTTCTCAATAATATTTTTTTTATATCAATCTTGGAGATAATTGATAATTTACACACTGAATCATTAAATTTGATCGATTGTGGGAATTTGAGAATTTAACTTAAAATTCATTTGTGACAATTTATAGTTGATTTCCATTTTTCACAAAGAACACTCAAATTTGCTGAACATTGACTTTCTATAGTTCAGATAACCGCATAAATTTTCTATTCAATTTAACAAATATTTTTGGCGGGATATTGACAAATGAATAAAGAGATTTTTTTTTTTACTCATGCCGATTTGCCACAAACTTTTAATGATATGAATCATGTAATAATTGATGTTTCGGAACATTGATTGGTCTATTATAACAATTAAATGAGGTGCGTTATGGTAATTTCATATGTCATATATATCACTCTAGTTATTTTCGATCGTTATTTTGAGGTTTAGTAACGGCGAAAACAAAACCTCAGAAATCAATAATTACGGTTGCACAACAAAGTTGAGGTTTTGTTATGCTCGTTTGATTCTTCACTTCACTAACTTGTCGCGTGTCTCTATCAATCTTTTTCAGGTAAAGGCGTGTCTCTGTGACGTCCCGACCAATCAGAATTAGGCGCGTGGCTACCTGGTTCCAATAACCTTGAAGTTAACCAATGAGGCTTCAGTGGACCCGTGGCGGGAGCCGTCCATCGCTCGGCTGGAACGCGTCAGGGGCGGGGCCTCTGAGTTCGGCGGACTCCTGTCTCTTCGAAACAAAGCAAGGCCAGAATTTCGCTGCTCCACGGGAGTGTACAATACCATCCGGATCTCCAATCCGATATTCCTCAAGTTGAGTAAGCGAAGACCGTGCAGCCTTTTTCCATTCATTAATTTGAATTTAATAAGAATTCTTCCAAAACTTCCTTTTTTTATTCTTTGTAAAGAAATAGAAAGTTCTAATCTGATGTATTCAATGTTTTAGTGTCTATAGTATTCATGACATACATGGTGTTAGATATTCCCTCAACACATCATCAATGTAAATGGTTTCTCATGCAGTCACACTTGTTGCTTATGAATAAAACTACTCTTATCATTGTTATCGCATTTTAACAATTTTAGAATTGTACAAGTTGTGTTAAAAATCTGTGGACATAAAAAGGGAGGACAGCCCAATCACAGAAACGTTTATTACGAATCTCAAACTAACATCATATATTCTATGCAATTGGGAAGCATAACGAGGACGTTTTAAGTACATAACTTATCGCCCTATTAAAGTAACATTATAAAAGCTGCCATTTGACAGAAATCTAGTACAAATCTCATCACTCTTAAGCTCACATTTCTGCCTTCATATCAGATGCTCTTCCCGATATCCCACTTTTTTTAAAACAAAATTTACAAAAGCAAATTATTTCAAGATTTACTATTTAAACACATAATATATATTTTCTTAAATTCTATCGACATCTAGTGATTATAACTTATTTAGTTTTATGGAGGAAAAACGGAAGACATGTATGTATATATAGCAAAATTATTATCAAAGTCAACTGGACATTTTGTCTATATTTTTACCATATTTTGACAATGTGTATATATTGTAATTTTAAATAAATTTGATATACAAAATAGATAATATTATTAGTTTTGTCATTCTGAAATGTTTGTACTGCTGTACTTTTGAAAATACATCAGTATATATTGGACCGAACAGTCCTCTTTGTTAATCAGTTCTCCCCTTTTGCTCAGGGGGAATGACAGTTGTTGTCAAACCATATATTATATCAATTATTTTTTCATCACCAGTCTTTTATCGAAAGACGTATTCTTAATACAAGCTTCAAAACATTCCATTTTAAAGAAACTGTGTGCTTTAGAATAACATCTTGTTCATAGCGTCGATTTCTAAGACACTTAAATCTGTCGCAAACTGTTACACTCAAGTTTCTTCTTAGCATAGCTTCTCGTAGATTATTGTAGAAACCTTTCTGAAATTCCCTGGGATATTTCCCTCTCTACTACTTGGTATAATATAAGAACACCTCAAGTTTGAAATGTTTGAATAAGTTGTAGAAATAAATCAGTAAGGTGTATGTCAGACGTTGTGCTGGTATTTTAAATTGCTTATGGAATTTATTAATGAGTTAAAAATAGACAATGTTTGTCTCAAATTCTAGCTCATATTATTTAATAAATAATTGCAAATTAGGTAGGTCACTAAAAATGCTACTCATTAGTTTAGAAAGTGTGTGAAATCTGAATTCTTCCTTTTTATCAATGTGATTTTTGTATCGAACTGTAATCCTCAGATGTTTTAAAAACATCCCGTCGTACCAATATTATTACAAACTTGGTGTTCATAAGTAATTACAGTCAATAGTATGGATTTTTTTTTATTATAATATGTCAAATACTGCCTTTACTTATATTAGAACACGTAACATCTTGTATTCAATAAAGTGCCTTGGGGGAAAAAAACATATCAAATGGTTTTGAAACTTACAAACTACAAGCTCTTGAATCACTTCAAAATATTATGCCTGACTAAACTTGTAATATGTATTTTTGTACGATTTTTCTACGCATAGCGTTTTATTTTGTAATCCAGCACTTCAGTGCAATTTCTAAGTATTCCTTGCTTATGTATATACTGATTTATATGTTTGTAAATTTGTTGTTGTACAAAAGAAAATATAGAACTATTCCTGGCCGTTAAAGACGGTGAATGCCAATAAAATATGCAGATAAAATGAATATATGATTTTTGGTGGTTTGGTTCCTCTTTAGGTTTCGATGAGTAATTAATCTTTCGCTTTGTCCTCTCAAGGATACGATGTCATCTCTCGGGTTGTGTATTTTGCTAAAGCAAGAAACAATGACAAAAAATGATGTTGAATAGTGTATGCGAGCAGAGAATTAGATGAGAGAGAGAGAGAGAGAGAGAGAGAGAGAGAGAGAGAGAGAGAGAGAGAGGGAGGGAGGGAGAGGGAGGGGGAGCTGGAAAGAGGGAGAAAGGTGTGAATGAGAGAGACAGATAAAGAGAGAGAAATACATAGATAAAGTGTGCGTTAGTGTGTTGCCTGTGTGTGTGCGTGTGTGTGTGTGTGTGTGTGTGAGAGAGAGAGAGAGAGGGAGAGAGATGATGATAAATGAAAGAGGGAGAGCGATGATAATGAGAGCGAATATAATAGAGAGAGAGAGAGAGATATGCGAAACAAATGTGCAATAAATAGAAGATCGGATCACAAAGGGAATGTTAGCATAAGCTTCAATATTTATGGGCGATGACATGCAAGAAGCTTTCAAGGGTATGAAGCCTAAAAACATTCAACTGTAAAACATCAGGAGACGAAAATGAAAAGAAGGAAAAAAGAAAATACGAGATGAAGGAGCGAAAAAGGCAATAAAGAAGGAGAAGAAAAGCATGAAATAGATATGATATCATATTCGACTAGTTTTAATGGAAAGAGTAAAGACGCCTAAAGTTGTATCGCAAACTGGTCACAACTTAAGTTGGAATAAATAAAATGTACAGTGAAACAGAAAAGAAACGACTAGGATGCCTAAGCTGTATGTGTAGATGAAAGACAAGCGGTAGAACTTCGGAAATTGATTGAAGAAATCAAATGAGAAAGGCATCGATGAAATGTTAGAAATTGGAGTGGTTAATTTTGGAAGGGGGCGAACAAGGCGCATAAGAGTTACAATAAACAAATATAGGAAGACAAAGCGAGTGGAGCATTAGAGAAGGAGGAGGAGAGGAGGAGGAAGGGGTTAAGAGGAGAGGGAGGAGGAGGGGAAGGGGGAGGGTAGAATGGGGTTAAGAGGAGAGGGAGGAGGAGGGGAAGGGGGAGGGTAGAAGGGGGTTAAGAGGAGAGGGAGGAGGAGGGGAAGGGGGAGGGTAGAAGGGGGTTAGGAGGAGAGGAAGGAGGAGGAATAAAGGAAATGAATCATTCAGGTATCACCCCAGGCTTATGTAAGCGCGTTGAAAGAATAATCCTTCAGTATCAAATACATTTACCTCCATCCATCATACCAAATACAATCTGAATGTCTACTACCACACCAGCTGGGCTACATAGTTTATCCATTCATCAATTATTTTATTCATTCATTCATCTTTCACTCATTCATTCATTCATCCACCGTTTTATTTATTTAGTTTCTTAAATCTTTCATTTAATTCAGACATTCCTTTATTTTTCATCAATTATTCTATCCATCTATTCATTCATACATTTAAAAAAGTTTCTTACTTTTTTTCAATATTTAAAATTTCATAAAATACACAAACATAATATGATTAAAGAAGCCATTGGCTTGTCAAAACAATAATTAGTTATTGTATTCATTCATTCATTAATATATTTATTAATATATTCATTCATTCGATCCTGCATTCATCAGTCATTCCATCCCTCTCTTATACTCTTATACTTAAACCAATTATTCTACCCGTTCATTTATTTCATCATTCGTTCATTGATATATTCAATCATTAATTCATCATCACGATCATATTTTTTTCTACTACACTGCTGGACATGCCGGAAATATCAATAAACTAGAAACCAAATTAATCTCAAGCATATTTAAAAAAAGAAAGGCAATCTCGAAATGAAGCATGCAAACATATTATGTATGTTTAAAGATAAAGTAACGTACATAAAACGTTACCACTGATTGTCACCTTGCCATGGTAACAGTACTTACCACTAATACTAAGTTACGATCAACACTAAGTTATCATCAATAATAAGGTAACATATAAACTAAGTTACCGTCAATACTAAGTTATCATCAATAATAAGTTACCATAAGTACTAAGTTACGATCAACACTAAGTTATCATCAATAATAAGGTAACATATAAACTAAGTTACCGTCAATACTAAGTTATCATCAATAATAAGTTACCTTAAATACTAAGTTACGATCAACACTAAGTTATCATTAATAATAAGGTAACATATAAACTAAGTTACCGTCAATACTAAGTTATCATCAATAATAAGTTACCATAAGTACTAAGTTACGATCAACACTAAGTTATCATCAATAATAAGTTACCATAAATACTAAGTTACGATCAACACTAAGTTACCATCAATAATAAGGTACCACATCAACTAAGTTACCGTCAATACTAAGTTACCATCAATACTAAGTTACCCTCAATACTAAGTCACCATCACTAATATGTTACCATCAATACTAAGTCACCATCAGTATTAAGTTACCATCGATACTAAGTTTCGTGCAATTGGGCAAAAAGAATTTCCATTTTCGGTTTAATAACATTTGGATTGGACTTTGAAATATTATTATTATTATTATTATTATTATTATTATTATTATTATTATTATTATTATTATTATTATTATTATTATTATTATGATCAAAATGCTTTATAAATATTCGTGATAACTGTGAGGTTGTAGAATCATCAGAGTGATAGGAAATTGACACAGTCTTGTTGAATGTCACAATCAATGTACACAGACAGGTGTATAATTATTGAACTATTCAAACGTATGGCATGAGGTTGTGATCCACAACCTTTAGCTGTTATTATTCGAATGATTATGTGGGCATTTCAAGACTAGTTTAAAAGTCCTTTTGACAAGGCATTAATCTGGATATGCAACACTCCACCCAGGCACCCGATTAGAAGAAATTCTTCGAATGTCCTTTAATACCCAATAAATACAACTAGCTCATGAATAAAGAATATTTGAATATCTAAATTTGACTTTGAGTCTGCCGCTTATCCAAACATGGGCTGACGAGTGTATACTAGTTCTGTAAGACTTGATCGTGAAATGACATAATTGTTAAATGTGTCCAAATGTCAACTCTGTTACCAAAAAAAAAAAGGGGGGTGGGGGCATGATACAGGTATTTTAGTGGTTTGTGTGTGTGTGTGTGTGTGTGTGTGTGAGTGTGTGTGTGCGTGTGTGTGTTGGGGAATAACTAAAATCAACACATACATTAAAAGAAACAATTATGACTGGCGATATAGTTAATTATCGTAATCCTCACATTAAATCGAAATTCTTAGACCTCATATACATGTACCAATATTTAGTATGCGAAAATAAAAGAATAAAACGCGTCTCACAAGAGGCAAGCAAATAATGACATTGATTTTTCTTTTTTACTATTTGTATCATATCAATGCGATATTTGAAAATGAAATCTCTTTCATGCGCAGATCTACCGGGTACTGCGAGGGGCTCCCCCGTCGCATTATGTGATTCGTGCAAACAACAGAAGGAGATATGATGGTATTAGAACGAAAAGAGTGCTCGAGGAATAAAAGATACACATTGTGAGAACATCATGTTTAGCATAGAAAGTAGAATAAAACTGGAGATGGGGTGAAATGAATAGTAATAAGAAGTAGAAGGAGGAGGAGAAGAAGAAGGAAAATCTAAAAAGACAAAACAAAGTGAAGGAGATTTGCACAATAAATGGAAATGAAATAGAAACCAAAGGCACATCATTTACCTCAGCCTTCGAAACGGCAGCTGCGTTTTCATTTTGTAAAAAGGTTTTAAAAATATTTATATTGAGAGGGGGATGTTTAATCTACATTTATATGTCTTACTAGCTGAACTCTTGACCCTATAAACATTTGAAAACATGGACACCGAGTCTAATATCTTCATTATTTACAAATCTGTTTTTTTCACAGCTAAAAGATGAAGGTGTAAAAGTGTGGTATTTTCTAAACGCGTTCGGAAAAAGTAATTTATCTCACAAAACCTACCCAACACCCGAAACTCTGTCTGCCACTGCCTCCTTGTCTAACGTGTTAAAGATTATCATTGGGAGGAACATTATCTTTTGAGACGCTGCATGAGAAAGTAATTTGAAAAAATAAATGAGGCAATTTGGAAAGAAATTATCTGCTTTCCCGTTATCAGATAATCTTCATTTTCGTCGCGAATCAATATGGTTACATTTTGATGTTATTGTCCTGGGTGTGTGTTTGTTTTAAAACATGGGAGGCTTTTACCACTCAGCCCACGCGACAGAATTAAACGGAACAAAGCTAGCGAAGATAATCCAAGAATACAAAACACATTCTATACAGAGAAAAATCAATATACATCCTAAGCTAATACGATTAAAGGCAAGTCGTTAGCTTACCGAAATGAAAAGGACTTAAAGATTAATACTTTGCCAATCCGATTCTAGCCTTCATTCTTTAAAGTTCTTTTATTTATATGGACATAATCAATAATTAGAGGGCAGTCTCTGAAGGGGTAACGTCCTGCATAGAGAATGTCCAACGCAGTACTTACAAATTAAACCCTAGTCCTGCGTGTGATGCGTATGGAGTTACCCCCATGTCACACTTGCGAACCCGACATCACACCAGCAACAGATAGAACAAAATACATTACCACCATCAGCCAAGAAAATGTTGGTTGAAGTCGATATGGAGTCGGTTTGAATGCGATGTGACCGGTGATACCACGGTCAAACCATCGAGACCGATGCCAAGCCGACAGCAAACCGAAAAAACATTACCCCTTAATGACCAAGAATCGGTCGGTTTGGAGTTGGTATGGAGTCGTCGTGGAGTCGTTGTGGAGTCGGTTCAGCCGTGTGACCGAGGTTGCGGAGGATTTATCCAAACTCCTCTCGTCCTTCGCAACTCTTTCTTCTTCGCTCAGTTCTTATTTTCCACATCAGTTAGTAGGAGGAAGGCACGCGAACGGCTTACGCCTAAGCCGAATCATTA